ATGCCAGATTAAGAACATAACAAATATTGAGAAATTTGGTATTGGTTCAAGAATTGCTCTGGGAAAGACTTAAATTTATACCAATGCTTCAGGGTATGTATATTCTTTGTGCAGTCATTCATATTATACCATTTAAAAGAACAGCCTCAAATCACAAGTCCACTAGTTTATAAGGAAAAAACAAACTTAAAGGATTTATTCCAATTCAGGAATTTTTCTACATCTACCCCTTAAACACTGTCAACTATTAAGCTTTCTTATTAAAAATCATCTCTTCCTATTAAAAATTACTTAGGAAACATCATCTTTCAGGCTACATTTAACCAGACACACCTGTTTTTATAAAGCCTCTCATATTTAAAGAGTAATGCAGTAAGAAATAAAACAGTGTCTGTTTAGAAAAGTAAATACATACTGGTCTAAAACAATTATTAAAAGAAGGAATTAAACCGCTGTTCCTCACTAGTAACAAGTATTCCTATTCCTTCTGAGACCATATTTCATGTCATTTCATTACATTTCCTTTTGTCTTGGTTATCTGCCGTTACTCTCTACTCCCACAACCCCCCAGCTTCTACCATTTTGCAAAGAAAAGTCGAGATCCTTTTATACTCCCCTATCAACCATTCATTTCACTTTGGTTTCCTTTCCATCTGGTTGTTGGGGCCGATCTCTGTTACTAGAGGACACTAGACAGCATAACTACTTCCAAACCCTTGTGATGCTCAACTCCATTCCAAATAAGTACCAGATCCATAAATCCAGGATCACATTCTACCACTTCCAAATTAGTGCCATCAGAATTCTCAAAGAACAAATAGATTGGTATTACATTCTCACAAAGAAGAAAACATATATAGCTCACTACCAGTACCGTAAAACAATGACTTCTCATAAAGGCAATTTGGTTCAAGATACTCTCCATTCCTTACAAGGAAAAAACAAATGTTACTAAAATAGTTACTCTGAGTGCCTTACCCACACACATAAAAAGCCCTTATATTTTCTAAAAAGTTAACCAATGTTCAGTTTAATTCACACAAAATTTTAAGCAATATATGTGTCACTGTGAATAAAAAAGGCCATACTCCTACTGACACAGCTCTTGGTTTTGGGAATTTCAGGCACTTTTGGATCATCAGACTTTCTGGAGATCTATGATAATTTCCTTAACTCAGAACCATGCTTTGGACTAAAGCATATTAGCATGAAACTTAATGAATGCATCAATGTTAATTTCCAAACTAAATAATAATCATACACAGGAATTACACTTTGATTATAAAACCCTTGGTGAGAGTACTTAGGCATAAGATGGTACCTAGGGTGAGACTTAAACACCAAATGTAAAGCTGCAAGGCAATATTATCTCCACAATCACTATCAATAAAGAACCATAAGCTCCCAAGAAATACAGATTCAAGAAGCTTTCATTTTTAAAGACTAAATGCACTAAGACTTTTCAGAGCTCTAAAAAGTTATCTACAGATTTTAAAATAAAGGTAAGAGTGACAGTTCTGCCTCCTGATATACATGTACATAATCCTCTCTCTTAAACATCAAGAAAAAAAACTCAATTAAAAAAAGTGTACGTATATATATGATACCTCATACATATACGTATACAGATACATATCTATAATTCTACAAGCAAAATTTGTATTTATAGCACATACTAAGACACACTACTTAACATTCACAATTTATAATAATTTATCAGCAGCAAAGTACACAAATAAAACCATTAACAAGATATAAAGATATCTGCCATTAAAGGATCCTTACAATCAGGTTTTCAACAGTCTTTTGGTTGCAGTTGACAGTTCACAATTGCTGCCATTCATAAGAGTTCCTGGAATGTGGCCTACAGAGTTCACACTGGTCAGCTATCTATGGAAAATGATCTGTACTGTGTTCCTTTTCCAAAAGGGCCAGTAATATTCTGCACCTCCCCCAATTTACCAAAATGTAGCCTGTTAAGTGTGTAGGTAGTTTAAACATATTTTATAATATTCACTATAAAATTGTTTATGCATTTTTAAATGTATTTTCAACCATTATTATATCCCTCAGTTTACACAAAATCAATTTGAAGAATCTCAAAAACTGACCATAAGCTACAATGATATATAAACTGTACCTTAATTAATAATATAGGGTCAAAAGGCAATGTCTTAAACTGAGAAGTTTAAGACTTCTCTTACTTTGTATATACAACCATCAGCTGTTTTAAAGTTATGATAGTATATAAGGTATGATTCAAATAAATGGTCTCAAAACAAGCCAATAGAGATCCTTGTATTAGGTAACGTAGCCAAAATCACAAGATAGCGTTTTCAATATATCAACCTAAACCACCTCAATCATTTTTGTTAATCTTTCATTTTTCTTCATTTTCTCAAAGAAATAGACTGTGTTTACTAACATCTTAACATTTTAAAAAAGGCTAACATCTTTTTTTTTTTACAAATATTTTCCAAGGAGCTGAAACTTGTCAACCTATTCACAAAATTTAAGTCATAATTACTCAAAGCTTCCTACTCCAATGAGTTTTATTTCACATTTGAATGACTGCAAATAAAACTGTATGAAGATTTTAATTTAAGAAGGCAACCTATAATCACCATTTTAAAATCATGATTTTGTTAGTACTGTCTCCTCAAAAGTACTCATCTCAGTAATTCAAACATAAGCCTAGAAAAACTGTGTTATTTAATTTCAAGCATACAACTTTAAAAATGCTCTCTCTTTTACAAAGGTTTTCCATTAAAAAACAAATAAAGAAACCCCAAACTATTTCTACTTAATGGATTCATTCCTTCACCAGGTATGTAGGTCGAGTGTCAAAACAGTCAAATGTGTAAGATTACATCTTGGAAACTAGCATGTTAAATTAAAAACCAATGAAAGACTGTAACAAAAATTAGAAATGCACATTTGGTAAGCAAGGCAAATTTTAAAAGACTAGGTGAGGGAGGGAAGTGCCACACTTAAAATAGAACTACACACACATAAAAACCCCTGCACTGGATTAACTGTTGCAATTGATAAGAACACTGATACAGTAGTATCTGTAGTTCAAATAGTCACATGTTTGGAAATGAGACTTTTGAAATTATCAACTCTTAATAAGGTAAGAGGAGAAATAAATTTATCTTTGAGGTCATACCCTAAAGAATACATCCCAGAGTTTCCATTTATCAACACATCTCTCTGCTTTATGCCATATCATCACATTTAAGTTCTGGGGAATATAACTACAAATGCTGTAAACTGAGAGCAGTGTTAAAGAGGAGAGAAAACACCTTCCTCATTTATAGGTGAGCATGTTTTTGGGGTGGGGAAGGGTTGGGAAACCAGTCATTTTTTTGGAGAGATACGGGGGCAGTGTACAACAGGAACAGAGAGGTAAGCAAATGGTTATTTACAAACCCATCAGAAAAAAATGGCTTCTGGCAGCTAGAAAAGGGAAGATGCCTATTGATTATTACCAAATGTGAACAAATAAACTCAATCTGCATTTCAGGTGTGCCCCTAAGTGTGAAAAGTGAAATACGGCAGAAAATGTAAAGAGGGATTTTCCTGAGTGGCTTGTGGAATCAGTTTTCTTTACTTGGTAGTCCCATCCATATAAAATTTCTCAATGACTAGCTAGTATGAGCTCACTTATGGACACGTGGTATTCTCTAAGAGTTCTCAAATGGAAGAAAGACTCCCCACAAGCAAGTCACCTACAAAAAAAGATGAACTTTGAATTACAAAAAGCAGAGACGATGAATTTCAGTGAGCATTTTTCAAACCAACAGAAGTATATAACAAAAATATAAAGCTAATTAGAAATGAAAAGTTAAGAAAAGAATGTGAAGGAACTCAGAAGAAAATTGGAAGAAAAAGCTTTAACAGGTCTCATTGTATTCTACATACCAATTATTCTAGAAACATAAAAAAATAGTTCTGATCTTTTAACACAGCTAAAATTAACTTCTCTCCAAACAAAACCTCGGCAAATAAATTTCTAACTGTAAAGTACCTAAATCTTTTACTGCAATTTTTAAATGTAATTTTTGGTAACAAGTCAGTTTTTAAAAATTTGCATTACATTATGCCAAATTTTCTGTGACATTTCCTCAAAACCACTTAAAATCCTAAATAAACTATAACCAAACATCAACTATTGTAGAATTGGTATGGCAATACAGCAATTTGCACTTAAACTATTTAAAAAGCTTCCCTTTAATAGAGGGAGCCAATTGTTGACGTTTATCTTTTACTATAAAATTACTCTAATTTCACGAACTACAAAGTCTCTTATCTCTCCTATAGTAAAAAGACTGATGGACGATAAGAAAATCTTTCCAATACATTTTTTTGCTTTAAAAAATGTATCTTAAAGAAGTCACTGGGTAGCCTCCTGACCTTCTATCCTCTTTTATTTAAGGGCTGAATGAAGATAAGCTCTTCAAAGCTGGATCTGACATTTCACCATTATCTCTCCAGCCTTTCCAGATACACTGGAATAGATACCTTACATGGCTCTACTAGGGGGCCTTCTGGTTTTCCAGAATGGGAAATGTCTAACCAATTTTATATCTTAGTCTCAAAACTCACACTGAGAAGACATTCTGCCATTAAGTGTTCAAGTGTGATTGATATCTAAGAGACAATCCTATGGGGCATAACCTACTACCTATCACTTCTAAATTGAGAGGATTAAGCTAAAATCCACCCTTTTGAAAAAATAATGTTGCATTCCTATCCAACTTCAGTGCTTTTAAACAACTGTGACAAGACCAATTCTCTCATTACACACTTTTTTTAACATCAGTAATCTAAAACTAATGTTTTAAGAACTGATAAATCAATTTTACTAAACAGACTAATTTTTATATTTAGAAATACTAAAGGCCACAGTTTGAAAAAAGACTCTCCCAGAGCTGCATTCTAAACTACAACATATGGCCAAGCATTTCTATCAAATATTTCAAATAAGATTTCCATACCTGTCTTCATCACCATCAACAGGAATAGCTATGCTGAATACAGATGTGGCGAGACTGTTCATAGGTGTTAACTGAAGGGGGTTTGCCAGGGCATCTGCAACAGGAGGCTTCACAACAGGCTTATTTTCAGCAATGAGAGAAAGTGGTGGTTGAGGTAGGGGTTCTGATTTTCTTCTAGTATCGTCAACTGGCCCGACTAAAGGCTGGGTCTGAGTCTGAAACTGGCTTAGGTCAGACTGCGGTAGACTCGTCGGTGCGCTGGCGATGCCTGGCGCTAAGGGCAGCCCAGCGTGCTGGATTATGCTGCCGCTCCTGCTGACTGGCGGGTGGCTGCTCAGCTGCTGCGACTGGGCCAGAGGCGCGGGTACATTTGGCATAGTAACA